ACATGCAGATAACAGTGATGATGATGTACGAGCTAAATGCAACTTTAATGGCTTGTACTGACTGAAAAACAAAGGCTCAGATATTTTGTTTCAAACTAAATGTCGGTCCTGTGTGGCTGAGGGTGTGGTTTCAGAAGTGCTAATTAGATTTATAGACTGAATGGGACCTCTGAGACCATATGAATCATCTGTAATTTGATAGACCCGTGCAGACCTCATATTTACAGAAAAAGTTCCAAAACGGAAAAAGCACTGGCGAAGTCTGCAAAATGATACTGTTGTGAATCAACACAAAGCTTTTTAAAGCCATCTTTATTCAGAGTGCTGTCAAAGGATTCACTGTACGGTTCCTTTCCACATTATTCTCTCTCTCTTTCTTTCACTCAAGGTCTGTCTTTTCAAGGTTATAAGCAATTTCTGCATTCCCCCTCTAGTTGTGTGAAATCTGATAGGGCCGTATCTGTCCCTGACCGATCTCAGGAGTCAGTGTTGTACATCAAAACAAGACAAGCACTTGCTGACACTGTCCATGAGTCATCCCTTGCACAACCTCTCTGCCCATTTCTCCTATTCTCTTTTCTGTCTAACATATATATTCATCTTTTGTGATCTCTGTCAAGGGAGAGTGTGAAACTCCTTTTTCATTTGAAGACATTTGTTTGAGCGCTGGCGAGTGTAAGTGTGCAGACGTTCCTTGCAATATGAGCATATTTAAAGACAGAATACAGAGAGAGAATTTTCAGATAAATGTAACATTACAACATTTAAAAAACATTTAAAACAAAAAAAAGAAACTTTATGACTTAAAATGTAAGACATCTAAATTATAGCATAATACATATACAAATAAGTTAAATATAATATTATTTTTACTAGTTTTTTTAAACAATCCTTTGTCAATGCATTTTTGTTTTCTTCTAATCTAAATCACATTCAGATTAGTGACTGTTTCCAAGTCAAATAATCAAATCACTCATACATACAGCTATTATGGCCATTATAATCACTAATTCATTACAATATCCAGGATGGACATGTACAAGGGGCTCTTAATGGATGTATCCATTTAAATTGGTCAATGTAATGGAAATAGAGCCCCTTCTTATAAGACTCCATAAAAGTCCTGAGTCACTTGGCCTGACTAACCAGTTTTGCTCATATTTGTTGTGCACACAAGAATAATATTCTTCATTTCACTGTCAGCTCTTCTGCTGTGATGAGAACAAAGGTAAGGTCCTTTTTCATCTCACTTATTCATTCTTTCACAGAATGGCTTCTGAAAGCTTGTTGAAAAGCGCTGTAAATGTATGGGGTGGTAATCTTGTCATTTTAAAAGCATCATCCATTAGCTTGAGCTTGGTCCCACAAAAACACATTAATACAAAGTTGAAGACGGAAGTCATTTTATTAACCTTCTCGTATCATTTAAATGGTGCGGTAACTAATTCAGACCAAAAGTGACATTATTTCTAAATATTTTAGGCAGGGTTATGAATAAGGGAGTGCAGCAGTGGCTACATGTGAAGCAAGTGAATTTGATAAGTTCCCTGATTAACACATTTAATATCTTGGTGTTTTCTAGCATTTCAAATGGGATTTTTTTATTTGAGTAAAGCTTAAATGTAAGTACAAAAATATCTAGATGTATAGACAGCAGGGAACAAGAAATCATGTTTTTAATATTAGGAATGCATTGTCTCTTATTGGCAGGAGTCCAGTTTCTTTTTGATTTGAGAATTGTGTTATTGGGAAGCAGAGCAGCAGGGAAAACCTATTTGGCAAACCTAATAACAGGTCGTGCAGAGCCTCATCTAAGGAGAATGGCCCAGTGTGTGAAGATGCATGGAGATTTTGCCGGAAGGCAGGTCACTGTAGCTGATACGCCGGGCTGGTGGAAGAACAACCTTGTAAAAGAAACCCCTGAATTTCAAAAACAAGAGATTGTGCTTAGCTTAGCTCATTGTCCTCCTGGGCCCCATGTGGTTCTGCTGATCATACGTGTCAATGCTTTATTCAAAGAAAAATACAGGAGGTCGGCGCAGGAACACCTGGAACTTCTGAGCAAGAGAGTCTGGAATCACACCATAGTTGTGTTCATGTATAAAGACCAGCTACAGGAACAAACTTTAGGAAAGCACATTGGAAGTGAAGGAGAGTCTCTTCTGCTCTGGCTAGTGGAGAAATGTGGACACAGATATCATGTTCTTAATACTGAGAGAGTAAGCTCAGCTTATGCAGCTTATGGGGTTACTGGAGAAAATAGATGGTTGTGGGAAACAGTGGCTGTCATTTTGAAATGGAGAGAAAATGGTTGCATAAGGTAGAAGGAATGATGACGAAGAGATACATGAGAGCAAACCAGAGGAGGAAGATGGTGCAAGAACAATGGGAGACTCCACTTGTACGACAAGGTAAGAACCAGGGGCTGGATTCACATAGAGCTTCTTAAGAACATTCTAAAGAACATGCAATTCCTGAAAAGTAGAAAAAGTTCTTGAATATTTTCCTCTTCCCTAACATCTTTTTTTCCCCATCTTATTCTAACTAGAAAATTTAAGACAAGATTATCCCAACTGTAAGAGGTCATTCACATTGGTTTTTGAGAACATTCTCTTTTCAGGAATTTAAATTAATACATAAGAAATGTTTTTGGGAATGCAAAATATCCTAAACTTCATTGTTGATTTAGAAGAAAAATAAATAAAATCTTTAATAAGAAGAAAGAATAATTTTATTCTTAATGTTTTGTGAATATGGCCCCAGATAACCATTTTTGAAGGGATAGTTCACTCAAAAACTACAATTCTCTCATTGTTTTCTCTCATTATTATTTCTACCCTCATGTTGTTCCAACTCTCTGTTTTCCCCCCATGCAACACAAAAGGAGAAATTCTGAAGAGTATCATGGCTACTTTTTTCCCATTTAATGAAAGTGAATGAGATCTGGTGCTATCGAACTCCAAAATTACAACAACACATCATTATATAGAAAGTGTACATTTTGTATGTTTTCTGAAATCAAGTGATTCAAACTTTGTGTGAGGAATTAACTGCTGTAGCTTTCAAATTACATATACTGGACTAAAAAAGAAAAGAAATATAGATTCTCACCTCGACTTGTGACTGACATCTTCTGATGCAAAATGTCTAATAGCACCATATTTGAGTGACAGCAGATTGGAAATTTCTTTTGTGTTCCACAAAAGAATGAAAGAGTTTAGATTGACATGCTGGTAAATGGACGAGGACACAATTATAATTTTTGGTTGAACTATCCTTTTAATCTCAGTTTAGATTTAAAAAAAAAAAAGTTAATGTTTTTAATGGATCTTGTTTTTTACCAGGTCACAAACATCTCCACATTTCTAAGATGAGGATGATAATGTTAGGTTTCTGAAGAGCTGGGAAGAGTTCAGCTGGAAACACCATTTTGAGTATGGCATCATTCACCTCGAAGAGAACCACCACATGTGTGAGAAGACAAGGCGAGGTGAACGGGAGACATGTGACGTGGACACTCCAGGCTGGTGGAAGTCTCTCCAAGTGGCTGACACTCCTGAACTGAATAAAGAGGAAATTTTACTCGGCATGACTTTCTGTCCACCAGGACCACACGTGCTTCGGCTGACCCTGTGTGTGGACATTTCATTCACAGCAGCAGAGAAGGAATCAGTGGAGGAGCACGTGGAGCTTCTTGGTGAGAGAGTGTGGGCTCATACCATAGTGCTGTTCACCCATGGAGATTGTCTGGGGGATGTGACTGTTGAAGAGTTTATTGAGAGTGAAGGGGAGGCTCTACAGTGGCTAGTTGAGAAATGTGGGAACAGGCATTACGTCCTCAACAATGAGAACTGGAATGATGGCAGTCAGGTCACAAACCTGATAGAAGGAGAGGATAGAGAAGGTGGTGGCACAAAATAGGGGCCATTATTATGAAATTGACCCTAAGACTCTAAAGGTGAAGCAGAAAAGGAAAGCATCAGAAAAGGCAAGCAAAGGCAAGAGCAAAGAAACAAAAACAGATGAGGAAGATGAACAGTACAATGAAGGGTAAGATACTGGTTTTACACATTTACACATTCAAGTCACCAAAGTTCAAGCAAGCTTGCAACCCATTTTACTTCCATAATGTGACATTTCTGAGTAAAACATGATATCCAATGAGAAAACAAAATGTAGGGAATCATTCTGGGTGTGGATCATTACAGTTGAGTGTTTCATACCTCACTGGGGCCAGGACGAATGCTAAAACAATACTTTAACAGCTATTTGACTGTCCATTCATATTAACAAATAGCTTGTACAGAGAGAAGTAACATCAGTGGAAAAGTGAGATTATTAAATTGTTTTAATAACATGCACTTGATGAATTGACATATATAAAGAATGCATGTTAAGAATAAATGAAGTCATTAAATTTTCTAAAAAAAAAAAAAATTTGGCAAACCTAATAACAGGTCGTGCAGAGCCTCATCTAAGGAGAATGGCCCAGTGTGTGAAGATGCATGGAGATTTTGCCGGAAGGCAGGTCACTGTAGTTGATACGCCGGACTGGTGGAAGAACAACCTTGTAAAAGAAACCCCTGAATTTCAAAAACAAGAGATTGTGCTTAGCTTAGCTCATTGTCCTCCTGGGCCCCATGTGGTTCTGCTGATCATACGTGTCAATGCTTTATTCAAAGAAAAACACAGGAGGTCGGCGCAGGAACACCTGGAACTTCTGAGCAAGAGAGTCTGGAATCACACCATAGTTGTGTTCATGTATAAAGACCAGCTACATGAACAAACTTTAGGAAAGCACATTGGAAGTGAAGGAGAATCTCTTCTGCTCTGGCTAGTGGAGAAATGTGAACACAGATATCATGTTCTTAATACTGAGAGAGTAAGCTCAGCTTATGCAGCTTATGGGGTTACTAGAGAAAATAGACGCAATGGTTGTGGGAAACAGTGGCTGTCATTTTGAAATGGAGAGAAAATGGTTGCATAAGGTAGAAGGAATGATGACGAAGAGATACATGAGAGCAAACCAGAGGAGGAAGATGGTGCAAGAACAATGGGAGACTCCACTTGTATGACAAGGTAAGAACCATGTTAAGAATGCATGTTAAGAATAAATGAAGTCATTAAATTTTCTAAAAAAAAAAAAAAAATTTAATAACATGCACAGATGAATCACTCACAATAACATCAATATTTAATTTTTCATTTTTTTTCCAGTTCAGTTTTTAAAAGTTTTATTATACTATGCAAAGGAACAATGCAAAACACAGAACTACAACTTTCCTTCCCCAACATTTATAATGATGATGATAATAATAATAATAATAATAATAATAATAATAATTATTATTATTATTAAAAAAACAAACATAAGATTAAATTAGGTGTTCATTTGCTAAAATTGCTGTTACAGTTATCAGTGCAGTGTCTGCTATTGTTTTTGTTATTCAACATTCCACATTATCTACACGTATTTGTTATCCAAGGGGGTCATATTTGATTTTATTTTGATTTTACTATATATAAGAGAAAAGTAAAATGCTAGTTAAAAAAAGCTGTTACACATATTCTTTATGGCTATATATATTTTAAATGCATAAACACAGTGTTGAAATGTTGATGTTTCCACTGCATTTACAAAACTCTACACATACCTTTTGGTGGATCTACCTGATTGTGCACATCTGTACTGCTAGTACAAAGTTAGCAACTTAAAAAAAGTCAAAGGGATGATCCAGAGGAAGATAAGAGCTACTCTCATTGATAGTATTTCAATATATACAATATTGTGGCAATGGAGGAGGGATACAGAGTTCAAATTGCAAATTGAGTTTATTCTTTTGTGGCTTTTTATGGTCTCAGTTTGTCTTTGAAAAACTGTTTAATTTTGATGAGAAAGTTTTGGCATCACCGTGTCTGCTAAGAGTTCAATGTGCTTCACAGAAACGCTGTGTCATTCGAGCTGCGTTATTTATTATGCAGAGATTTTGAGTTCAGTCTGAGTGCTGAATTATGGTTTCTATGGAATCCTGTTCACTGAAAAAAAAATGCAGAAATAAATTGTGAGATATAAATTATGGATCAGAATTGCGAAAAAGGTCAGAATTGTGAGAGAAAACATCACAATTACTCTTTTTATTTATTTATGTTTTATTTGTGTTGGAAACAGGCTTCCATAGAAAATATGAATCAAGGAAGTAAAAATGAAAAGTAAAAAAAAGAAAAAGTAAAAATTGAGTTTATGTCTTGGTATTCTAAATTCTGAACTCAGAATTGCAGGAAACAAAGTCCAAATTATGAGATATAAACGTGCAATTACCTTTTTCGTTCAGTGGCGAAAACTGATTTCCATAGTTTTCAGATTATTCATAGCAATCCCTTTTTCATTTATTTGCTGGGATTGTTGACTCTTGTATTGGGGAGACATGAAGTGAAATTATTGGGGAGCAAGTGGAGGAATGGGATTGATAAACATTGTAGGTCGAGTTTGAACCCATGTCAACCACATGAGCACCACAGCTCAACGTTTCAAACAGCAAATCCCATTTAGGCAAATCTCCTGACAGAAGTATTGCTTGTCAGACCTGTTCCTACACAATATAATTGTAACGCCTGGATAAATCAGACAGAATTATTTCTTAGGCAATGCTAGTACACTCTTAAAAATAAAGGTGCTTCAAAAGGTTCTTCAAGCGATGCCATAGAAGAACCATTTTTGGTTCCACAAAGAACCATTCAGTCAAAGGTTCTTTAAAGAACCATCTCTTTCTTGCGTTTTTATAATCTGAGTAACCTTATTTTGCCACAAAGAACCTTTTGTGAAACAGAAAGGTTCTTCATATGTTAAAGGTTCTTTATGGAACCATTTAGACAAAAAGGTTCTTCTATGGCATCGTGAAGCACCTTTATTTTTAAGAGTGTATCGTACAGTTAACTAAACGAAACATAGGTTTAGTATAAACTGTAGACCCCGTTCTTAAATGGCGCTGATGGTTTCACTCAGGTGGTTAACGGACTCATTTTCCATAGTTGCATTCTTTGGTTTCTCTAATGGTTTCATTCATCCACTTTAATTCCCTTGTGTCTGTATGCATGAGTGTGTGTGTGTGTATGTTTGTTTGTTAGACTAGTTTGTGTTAGTGTTTAGTTAATACAACTTTTTTCTGATTCTGTCACTGCTTGCGGATAATGTTGCTTTAATGATTCCTGATCTTATTATATGCTCTAATGCACTATTGCTGTAAGAAAGTTATTTTCTATGGCCACGAAAATATCATTTCTTAGAGTTGATATGAAATTACACTGAATGTTCACTGGACGAACAGATTAGTTGATGGTAATATTAATTCAGCTAGTTACCACTGGCTGCTGATATAAATAATTGTAATTCATTATAATTAATAGTGGTTATTTATATACATTTCTCTCTTGAGCTAATTTGCTATATAATGTTGTTCCTATAAAGATGGTGGCTTTTACTAAAGATCGATTAGTAAACAATCTTTTCATATCTTTTTCTAAAGCGTTTCTCAGAATTTTGTCTATTGCTGCTGGGTTATGGAGAAGCTGGGAAGAGTTCAACAGGGAACACCATTCTCGGCAGACAGGTGTTCGGGTCAAGAAGAACAGCCCGGTGTGTTCAGAGACATCGAGAGGTGGGAGGACAGCAGGTCAGCATATTAGACACCCCTGGCTGGTGGAAGCATCTGCCCATAGAACAAACCCCTGAACTGAATAAAGACGAAATCTCACAGAGTGCATCTCTATCCGTTTCTGGACCAGTCTCTTACATTTTGGTTCTTCGTGCCGACTGTTCCTTTAAAGAGCAGGAACGGAAGGCGATGGAGGATAATTTGAGGCTTCTGGGCTCCATGGTTTGGGATCACAGTATAGTTCTGTTCACTTTTGGGGACCTGCTCAGAGACGGAGCCATTGAGCAGTACATTGAATGTGAGGGAAAAGCTCTGCAGTGGGTTGTTGACAGATGTGGAAACAGGTATCATGTTTTTAATAATAAGGCCAAGGGTGAGAGCCATCAAGTCAGAGATCTGCTGGAAAAGATACAGGGGATGATTGCGGTTAACAGCAGGTGTGATGACAAGGACATGCAGGTGCTACAAGAGGTGACAGAGCAAACACCAGACAGAAGATGCAGGGATGAAGAGAGGAAGATGAATCCGATGATGTGTTTGATTACGGTGAAGATGATGAAGTCATTTGGGAGTCGAGAGCGTGGAGATGGATGACAGCCGTATGAGGTGTGAATTTATGAGGGAAAAGTTATAGAGCTCTGGAAATCATTTTCATAATCAGTGCTTTTGTTTTGTTTTCAAGTAGAAATATCTAAACATCTTAAAACAAGATACACTTATTATTATTATTATTATTATTATTATTATTATTAACAAAAGTATTAATAATATAACATTTAATATTTACATTTTTATTTATTATTAGAAATTATTATTGGGCTTATTGTTAGACTTATTTTCAGAAAACATTTTAATGAATTGTTTCAGTTTTATTTTATATTTTATATAATGCATAATTGCATATCATATCGTATTATGCATAAATCTCAAGTAAATTTGTTACATCAAAGCTTAAATCTAGAAAGAAAAAAAACAGTATGCCAAAGGGATAAGAAAATATATGCATATTTGAAAAATTAAACAATTTACAATTACAATTTTATGCTGACAGTTACATTATAGGAAAGTTTTCTTGTTTTAAGCATAAATCTCAATAAATTGTTATATTTATGCTTAAAACAAGAAACTGCTACTTTGCCAAATGGGCAAAAGAAATGTATATAATAAGTAATATATATATATATATATATATATATACAGTGGGTACGGAAAGTATTCAGACCCCCTTAAATTTTTCACTCTTTGTTATATAATATATGAGTGTCACAGCAAAGGGTCTGAATACTTAGGACCATGTGATATTTCAGTTTTTCTTTTTTAATAAATCTGCAAAAATGTCAACAATTCTGTGTTTTTCTGTCAATATGGGGTGCTGTGTGTACATTAATGAGGAAAAAAAATTAACTTAAATGATTTTAGCAAATGGCTGCAATATAACAAAGAGTGAAACATTTAAGGGGGTCTGAATACTTTCCGTACCCACTGTATATATATATATATATATATATATGTACAGTATATATTTTATATATATATATATATGTCTGTGGAAATATATTAATCTGGAAATCTGCTGCCATGTCTTTACTCTCATAATGCACAGACCCCTTAGCGACGAGAATATTTAAATTTGATACATTTGCACAACACATTGCTGCAGGCAAAGTCGCACACATTAAGGAGGAATATGCAAATGAGATGCCACAACACAATATTTCCAGGGAAAAATAAACAAAAGCGAACAACCAAACAAATAAATAAATGACATCCAAGGGGAAGAACAGCAAGAGGAAGTAATGCTAATGCAAGTTACTGTTGCTAACAATGATGCTGTAATCACTGAAAGACTCTTGTTTCTGCTAGATGAAATGAATGTCATTAGATGAGGCAGGTTTTAGACAACAAGACTTCATACAGCCAACGGCTTTGATACTCCTGTTCATCATTCACTGTTGGGAGGATGCCTGCCTTTCACTCATATTCACATGTACAGATATATAATCATTATGAGTTGTTTCCATCTTTTTTCATCTGAAATTTTCAATGTGACTATTTTCAGTCTGGGGTATTTTTTTGCTCAAGGATTGTGAACTCTGTGGGCGATTCATCCATGGACAATTCAATCAATCATCACTGGACTATTTGTTAAAGGGCCAATCCTTTCTTCATTTCCAGACCTTCAGATAAGTTATTTTTGTTGTTTTGCCACTGGATTGAATAATACCCTATTATTTGATTGCTATTCAGTAGATGTTGGTTTCTATGGGTATTCTTAATCAATAAGAGTTGTATTTATTTGTTTTTGTATTTAAAAGTTTTTCAGCATTTTGAAACTTTAAAGTGACATTTGGTTTATTGAATTTAAGTAGTATGGACTAATTTTATAGTGTTTCTTTTCTTTCTTTCTTTTTTCTTTGTCATTATAAGCTGCCACAAGTTTTATTAAGTTTTATTTTAATAAGGATAAATACCAGAATTTTCGTTTTTTGGTAAACAATCCCTTTAATTCTACTAATCACACCAACAACAATAAGTTTGAGCATTTTTAGACTGTATCTATACCCAGGCTAGCCTAGGAGTGACCTAATTCTCTTTTAATCATATCCAATATAACAAAAAGTACTTGTTACAGATATTGTCTCACGCTAAAGGATGAAAAGAGGTAACATAAACGATGGTAAGCAACTGAAAAGGGCAAAGCTGAGAAATTTCAAGGAAGAGGATGAAAGCTGTGAGAGGGGAACAAAGCAAAGTAACAGAATGAGACTGAATAAAGCCTCGACAGATGACAGAGTTGGTCTTGCAACACTGAGTTGCCCCTTCAAACTGTATCCATTCTCTCCCTCTCATGCACACACACAGTGTTTCAAGAAATTACACATGAATAATTCATATTTTCAACTTTACTCAGGCCAACTATGACTGTATAATTAATTGAGGCTTCTTTTACAGGGAACTGGAATTAGAGAGGGATTGTTTAAGATGGGGGAAAGACATGAGAGGGCAGAGCATGTTTAATACCATAATCATGTAAAGCAGCACTAAGTGGTCATGAAATCAATGATAGGAGGAGAAAATGCTTCTTGTATTTTTTTTTTTATTATTATTATTATTTCTGTGTAAAAGGCTTGGCATGGTCTTCCAATCTGTCACTTGATAATATTTGGCCCATTGCTTGATCTATGTGTGGCTGGTAGATCACATTTTATGCATTTCCAAAACTGTTAGTTTTCATACTCTTCCGATCTCATGCTAATAATTTCACATAATATTGTCCCTAACTATGTACTCAGTATTCACTTAGTATTCATGTCAATAAATAGCAAATAATGTATGCTTAAAATATTCTGGCACAACAAGAGCATCTGCTCTGAATGTCAATGAAACGTCTCGGTGGAGGGAACGGAGACGTCACGTCGGATGACCAACAACTTGGTATCTCGCTTAGAGAGACCAATCCACTTCGAGTGTAAACTAAACGAGCCAGGTTTTCGCTGAGGAGCCGAGCCGGTGACCCGGCTGTTCAGCGGTGGTACAGCAGCTGTGGTGACGGGACGTGACCTTTAGGGAACGAGGGTTACATACGTAACCGAGACGTTCCTTTTCAGTTGGTCACTCTCAACGTCACGTCGGATGACCGACGAATTGGGATCCCTACCAAAGTGCCACGGATACTGCCCCTTCCAGTGTCCTGTGGAAGCCTCCTGCGCCCCTTCTTTTTGGCGTAGGCCGGGGCTTACCACAAGAAGACCAGTTACTGCTGCTATGGCACTACCCACTCAGTAAGACTGGATAACACTGGGAAAACGTGCTCATTCCACTTGGAACCGGAACGTTGCGGAAGCCCATCCTTCCTAAAGGAGTTTTCGGAAGCACTTACACATATGAACAACCATCTAGGAGCATATGGAAGATTAGAGGTGATTGTAACCCTCTTGGAAAATAGCAGGAAGTCTGCCGGGGAAACACGGGCTCTGAGGCTATACCGTGGACTTTACACATATGGGATCCACTTAGGTCTCTACATATGGAACCCAGCCCTCTACCAGTTCTCACGGATTCATCGAGTGAGGGCCGGACGCTCCGCCACGTCTGGCTGCCGAGGTGATGGAGGAGCTCGACAGGGTCTACAATATGGACTCTCTGGAGCGGTTTTAGCAAGCTGACCCGAAGCCGGGGCCTCTTAATGCTTCTACCCGTTTAAGGTGAGAACACAGGAGGATACCGGCTCTACACGAAGGCTATAGAATCTAGCGAATGTGTTGGGGGTCGCCCAGCCCACAGCTCTACAAATATCGAGCCCAGGAGGACGTAACACTTCTAGTAGAGTAAGCTCGCAACCTGAATGGGCAGGGCACACCCTGTGCCTGATAAGCCAGGGTGATGGCACCCACTATCCAGTGGGCCATCCTCTGCTTAGAGACGGCATTCCTCTTCTGCCGACCTCCATGACAGACAAAGAGCTGGTCTGAGGTCCTGAAGCTGAAGCTGTCTACGTAGCATCTCAATACTCGAACGGGACAAAGCAAAGCTAGGGCTGGGTCTGCCT